TGACGTCAGACGTCAGTGTCTCAACCAATCACAATCGAACGATAATCGCTTTCGTTTCGTTCATGTTTTTTACTGTCTAACCCTGCAGTACCGAATAAATTACTGGGCACTTGAGTTGTCACGTCGAGCTAAAGTAAACTGTTGTTTTTGACGTGCCAACTATAAATGGTTTACATTTAGGTACTGCAGTGGCAGCGCATCTGGTTGCCCATTTGTCCCAGTTGTGTGGTAACATGGGGCATGGTACTATGCCACAACCCAGCGCTCTCATCTTAGAAGCACCTTTCAATAACCTGATTGAGGAAATTGAGAGTCATCCATTTTCTAAAGTACGTATGCATATTCTTAAATACACGCTCAGGGATACTTTAAGTGTAGATTAAGAGAAAAATATAGACAAATGAAAGCAGTGGTTTCCAACATTGGTCCGCAAAAAAATTGTTCTTCGAATGATTTTTTAAATTTAGTAAACAGTCTTAGGTCGACATCTTCAAAGATCTATAGGCCTAGCATTTTTTTTAAACATTTGTATTGATGTCGACTGAAATATAAAAGTGATTCCTGGCCAAGAAGATTGGAAATCTCTAAGATTGCATAGTCTTGTAAAGCCATCACCAACTCACTACGTCCCCACAGAGGCGGAGCCTATCCTAAGTTAGTTACTAGGCCTTAGTCTAGTATATTTGAATTTCTTCTCCGATACCTGCAGACGATGTTTTCCTTCACCGTAAGCACATACGTCAGGTATTACTTTGTACCACCTATGTTTCATTTAGTTGGTGTCCTGGCTGCCGTATTACAAGGCGACGTTCTTGAAGCCGTTTTCAGTGTCATCAGAATACGCGTTTACAACAGACCAGTACTTAATGTTGGCACCACAAGTACCAATACTTATCCTGCACTCTAGGAGCGATAGGATCGTACCTTACGAGCTGGCTGTAAAGGTATTTAGACCTCTAGATTATGTTATAAATAAAGGTGAAAGGTCTGCTTGATTGTGTCCTATATGGTTAAATATATCCAGAGATTAAAATCTATATAGAGAAGGCATATTTGACACTTCACTTGAAACATTTTTCACATGATTTTACTATTGTCTATCGATATATCCTTGAAACCACATGTCTATATAATTAACTAGCTGTTCCCGTGCGGCTTCATTCGCATGAAATTGTGAAATTTTTATTTTATCTTTTACATTTGTCAAATTATCAATAGCAAATGTCAAAATGACATGACATGACAAATCGTAGCAATCTTACTTTCTTGATGGCAGCAACTTATGGTCTCTTTCCCATTAGGGTTTTTATCCAAAATATTTACCCCCTAAGTGAAAAATATATAGACTAAAGCGTGACGTAAGTGTAGGGCATTTTAAAAAAAGAATTGTTCAAAAATATGTTGTAATTGCTGACATCTTAGGCAACAAAGAATTGTGTGTTTACGCTTTATTATAATAGTATAGATAATTAATTGCAAAAAAGCAAAAGATGTTTGTTAGAGTTTGAAGACTTGAACGGGTCTCGATGAAAATCTTTGATGTAGAGGATAGTGTGAAAGAAAACATAGGCTATTTATTTTTGTTTTCTTTTATTATACAAGCAAAAGCTATTCTGTTAATAATTGTATTTCCAGTTGTACAATAGTACGGTAGCGAGCAGACGGGAAGCTAGCTCTCAGGCGCCGGTGGTACTGCACGGCTTTGAACGCGGCCAGGGTCTAGGACACAATAACCTCTGTCAAGCGCCTGATCTGCCGCACGTCGTCAGGTAAATACGGTAGCTAGAGAAGGGATACTACTGACAGAGTAATGGGTATATGCTAGAAGCCGAATAGGAGCAGAACGCAAGCTGTGGTCGGTCTCAAACCTTTGAATCAACTATCCTAAAACTGTTGTGCGACTGTCGATTGTTTTGCTGCAAATTCAATTGTTTAGTTGCACAATTAAAAACTCTTTTAAAAAAAAAAAAACTTGGACGATGTAACCGCGAATATGAAATAATAGATTTAACAACTGAGGTGGTTTTTAAATGTGTGTTGAGACGCGAGATTTCTACAAAGATTTCAACACATACAAAATAAATGTATTATAATCCGTTTCGACCGGAAATAGCCGCATTTTTGTCAGGGGCAATATTAATGTTTTAGTAACATTGTAGATTTTACGGTGTTCTGGGAATTTTGATGGACACTTTATAAATTAGTGTTCTTTATTTCAACCTATGTACAATCTTCTATAATACTGAAATAAATTTTAAAACATTTTTGTGTTTATCTGAATGTTGGGCAGTAAAAGGGACGGATGAAAGGAGACTACATTTGGCGGAAATGCGAGTGTCAAGATGGATGTGTGGTAACACGATTGGATAAGATACGAAATGAGTATATTTGGGGGAGTTTGAGAGTAGCCCCAGTGGTAGAGAAGGTAAGGAGTAAAAGGTTAGAGTGGTATGGGCATGTTATGAGAAGGGATGATCACATGTTACAAGGATGTGAGTTATGGTGGTAAACCGGTAGAGGTAGACCTAGAAAGAGATGGATTGCGTGAAAGGTGACATAATCAAGAGAGTGATGACTGAGATGACGTATGATAGAGTTATTTGGATGACGAAAACCCGGTGCACCTTACGGGAGTAGGATAAGGCAGGGGAGATTTTTTTTTTTTTATATTAACGTTTAATTTCTTTTTACAGTAGTTTCCTGCAGACCGTCGAGAAGTATGAACAACACAAGAAATAATTTATTTCATTAAAAAACAAACTAAATATTTGTTTCATTTTCATTTCAAGCAATACTTTAATTTATAAGTTGATTTTAAAAAAGATTGAATTTTATTTTCGATGCATTCATAAATAGAATAAAAAGTGAATAGAACGCAGCAAATTTTATTTGTATCACGTTAGTAGTTTGTATTTTTTTACGAATACAATTTGTACAAATTGGAGGCGATATTTTATAGCCGTTTTATAGTAAGCGTCAGACAATAAATCTTTTTGATTAAGAGCATCTAGGGGTGTCCAAAAATTTTTTATTATCGTTCGCGGTTTAAAACTTCGTATCTCCTACTTTAATAGATTTTAATTTGTGAGTTAGTATTTAGGATTTTTTCTTCATCGAATTTTTGTGACAAAAAAAGGAAATTTAAAATTTGCAATAGTTACAATAAACAAAAAACAATACCGTCTATTCCAAGTAGATAAAAATATAGTTTATATTTTAAACTAGCTGTTCCCTTGCGGCTTCATCCGCATGAAATTATAAAAACTTTATCTTATTGTTTACATTTGTCAAATTACAAATGTCAAAATGACATGATGACAACCTTGCTTCCTTGATGTTGGCAGCAACTTATGGTCTCTTTCACACATTAGTGTCTTTATCCAAAATATTTACCACCTAAGTTTAATGGCGTGAAAATATATAGCCTAAAGCGTGACGTAAGTGTAGGGCTTTTTATTAAAAAAAGAATTATTCATTAATATGCTGTAATTGCTGACATCTTAGGCAACAAAGAAGTGTGTGTTTACGCTTTATTATAATAGTATAGATATAGATAACCTTGTTATCAAAGATTTGCAAGAATTTTATTTAACTTTAAATTACGTCCTTAGAACTAAAACCAAAAAACAGTCTCTCAGTAATTTTTCCTTTTTTTACCTTTACCCTGTTACTGTAGTTATTCTTTTTTTTTATAGCATAAGGTGGCAAACGAGCAAGCAGCGCGGCGCCAATATGGCG